CAAGCCCTTCATCAGAAACGCTCTTCAGACGTCAATCGGAAAGATGTTCTTCTTCTCCACGACAATGCACGTCCACATGTGGCACGTTTGATGCCACACAAGATTATGGAGTTGGATTGGGAAGTCCCCCCCCACTCACCATATTTTCCAGATATGGCAACATCAGATTATCATCTTTTTCGTTCGCTGCGACACCATCTTAATGGGAAAACGTATGCAAATCTGAAAGGTGTTAAAGAGAACATCTACATGTTTTTTGTGTCAAAGCCAAGTGATTTCTTTAATCAGGACATTAACAACCTGATTGTAAGATGGAAAAGCATCATCGATAAGAATAGAGATTATTTCATTTAATAATTGTTTTGTTTTTATATACAAGTTGTTCGGGTATTTTCATCTAAAAAAGCGACTATAATTTCTTGACGACCTAATACAATGGCTGTGTAGGAGAAATAAATAATGACGATAGAGTTATTCATCATGTAATAAAAAAAAAGGAGAGTGCAGAGTCGGATGAAGACTTTATGAGTATAGAGAAGGAATACAATATTCAAATTCCAGAAGGTTGCAGTCAAACATCGAGGAGCTGAACATGTCTAGTAACTTTCTTCCTAAGAGTTGACTTGGAGATCTTCTGCGTGAAATGTTTATCAAAAATGACACCCATATATTTTCCTATATCAAAAAGGTGAATGATAACTGCACTTAGTATAATGGTTGATCAGTCTCTTAAGCCATCCAAGCAGTGTGCTCTTGCTAGCGATAGGGCAAATAGGATTTTAAGTTGTATCTACAAAAATATTGATAACAAGTCTAAAGAGATTATTATTTCATTGTATAGGTCATCTGTTAGGCCAAGTTTGGAGTATGGTGTTCAGTCTTCGGGTTCTTACCTTAGGAAGGTCATTGAATTGTTGGAAAGGTTTCAGAGCAGGGTTACTAGAATGGCGGCTGAGATGGAAGGTTTGTCATACAAGGAAAGATTAAGATCTTTGAAACTGTTTTCTCTTGAAAAAAGAAGAGTTAGAGGAGATCTAAATGAGGTTTAAAGATTTTAAATGGAATTGATAGTGTTGGTGCATCATCTTTTTTTATATTTAACGGCGAGAATCGTAGGACTAGAGTACACAACTATAAATTTTGGCATGGTAGGAGTCATCTTCAGCTAAGACAGTTTTATTTTTTTAACATGGTGGTTGGCCTCTGGAATGACATGCCTTCAGATGTTGTGGAGGCAATCAATTTAAGTGAGTTTAAGAGAAAGCTTGATAACTATATGAATGATAAGGGCTGGCTTTGTGATTTTTTAAAATAGTTTTAGTTTAGTTTGGACGATGGGACAGCTGAAATGGGTCAATAGGTCCCTTGTTCTCCATAAACATTACATTATGTTATGTTAACATCAACCAGGAAAGGATTGCGACAAGGACGGTATTTATGACTTGGGGCCAAACAGAATGTCACGTGCTTTGGCCGCATTAAATTAAGACACCATTGACGAATATAGAAGAGAGGTGAGAGTACGAAGTTCTTAGGTACTCCGGTTTGTAGACTGTAGTATTAAAAAAAGAGATAGCTGCACGACGACTATAGAGAATTGAGTGACCCAGTCCATTATATTATAATGATAAAGATATATTTCACAGTTCTTGGATCAAATCCTGGTGCCAGATTGAGTTAACTGCTCTTTCGAAATCACATAAACTCAAACAGGAAGGTCTGTTGGTATTAAAGTCTTTGGTAAGATTAGACAATATGAGAAATTGGTCTTGTGTAGGTAGATGTAGATAGAAGCTTGCTTGAGTACTAAGGTGGAGGGACCGTTTAAGAATCTTGCTAAAAACAACAGTAAGACTGATTGGATGATGTGAACTCACAGCAAAACAGAATAATGATTACACATTCCAGAAGACTGGGTAAAGGAGGGTCCAATGAAGAAAAGGGAATAATATTTCGAAGAAAAATCCGAGCCTCACAAACTGAATATGACCATCTATCCCATAGCTGTCTTATGAAAGTTTTTGGAAATCAAGGATGTGAATAATGTACGTTTGGGCTCAAATCAATAACTTTGGTTTTGTCCATTCCCAATATAAAGAATAATGTATTAATATGGAAGAAAACTGTTTGCAAAACAAATAGTTAAAATAGCATCAGCACCAGGAGGTCGCTGTTGGTGTGTCATTATTACTTTGAATCAAAGCTTGAACATCATCAGTAATAATATCATACAACAAGTAGTCTTTCGACATCAGGCTCTCAGGAAATTAGGGTCAATAATGTGTTTAGTGTTCTTACATTTAATAATAGGTTTAACAAGCGACTTACCTTTGTTAGTCCTTTTATGCACCGTAAATATACCTTATTAAGTTATAATGGGCATAATGTGGTATTTTCAACTTTAACGGCACCATACTTCAAGAGTTAGGCTAGTTTAGAACTGCTGACCAAAGAGAGAGTAACCAGTTCAACAGCATCTGCCATCTACATGTTTATATTCTTAACCAAATATCGGAACTGACTGTCACAACTGTAATGCCTTCTAAGCTAAAAATTAAAAATACGTTCATCAATATATTGTGACTAGAACGTTGGACCTTCCGATCAGCAGACTACGCTGGATAAAAGTAGAAGTTGCCACTCATTGTATCTTATTATACATAAAGCCACGACAGTGAAACTAGCTGTGCACTTGGAAATGCAGATAAGGTTTGTACTTTAAGCTTACGTAATACCTTCTTTCTGGCATTTTATAACAATAAATCATCATCTTTTAGGGTTACTTTAAACATTTACTCTTAAATTTATCGTACATTTTCCACCAAATTATATTACTGTAAGCAACAACAATTTGTTAGATATGTTCTCTAGATTTTTCCATAAGCATGAGGTCCCCCGGTGGGACAGCGGTAAAGCTATGGATTTGCAACGCTAAAATCAGCGGTTCGATTTCTCTCGGTGGAAACAACTGATTGCCCAATGTGACTTTCCTATAAAGACACACACATGAACATCATATGCAGCAATCTACGCAGTTTACAAATCGAATTACCAATAACTCTACACTACACAGCAGTTTATTTCAAACACGTTCAACAGAAAGGATACAAGCAGCTGATAGAACGATAACATTTCCATACGTCACTGCTGTAATGAAAATAAAAAGCTTGTTTATTATTATTATTATTATTATTATGAACACCATTTTTTTTATTTTGCAAGGTTTTTAAAACATCAGTAAAGTTTCAACAAAAGTGTGTCACGAGAAGGGAGGGAGGGAGCAAAGAGAAATGAAAGAAAAGAAAAGAAAAAAATATTAATGGTCAAGGCTACCAAAGATACAGAAATAATGTGGCATGAGTAGTCAGAGGAAAAGGAAATAACAAAAACGGCATTCTACATCCATCTTGCCGAAAAAATATACTTACTTTTCCATAGAAATGAATTAAACATGAATATATTTTCTGTGACTCCCCAGCACACCAAACATGTTCGCCCTTTCAGCCATCGGGGCGTGATTATGTTTTTCGGTCAATCCCACTATTCGTTAGTGAATAAGTAGACAAAGAGTTGGTGTTGATTTTAGCTGCCTGTTAAATTAAGAACGGCTAGCGCGGATAGCCCTCGTGGCACGAAATTCCAAACAGTCCAAACTTTTCTGTGACTTACCAGTACTGACAAATAATGCAAAGTGGGAAAAGATCTTCCAGAAACATGACAAATTTCATTTAAGTGAGCAAACAAAAAAGTCTCCATATTTTTAACAAAGTCAAATTCATTATCTTAGGAAGCAGCCTACATACTATCTAAGCTAGGGCGCTCGACTTGCAATCTGAGGGTCGCGAGTTCCAACCCCCGTCGCTTAGCATGTTCGTCCTATATGGTCTGACCAGCTGTGTGTGGAAATTCTTAGCTTAAAAAATTCCTAATCGACCAATCCAAACTTATTGGGATTAGAGTCATTACGGAGAAGAAGATTTCGTGGCATCATAAAAGAATTCATTAAATTTAAAAAGTATTTCGCTATGAATAGGAAAGGTTAAAGTATTTCAAACATCAACATTACACTAAAAGATAGAATCCACGTCAAAGATAAGCAAGCGGAAGTTATCTATGAGATCGCTAGTAACAATGTTGTATTTTTGGCTGAAATGTAAGTGGGGAAGAACTAGAATTCCAGGAACAAGAAATTCTGTGCTGATAAAGACCTATACATGATTCAGTTGGTACATGATAATTGATTCTTGATCTATGTCCATTATTACTTGGCTAAAACTCATTATTAATTATGAAGACTTATCTTTCATAGACGGATAGTGAGTCCATCGATGTGGTCAGCAAATGATGGTAAGGTTCTAATCGAGAAATCTAATTCGATACCCATGGTGGGCAGAACACAGATAGCCCATTGTGTAGCTTTATGCGTAACTTTAAAAAAAACTAAAGAGTCTAATAAAACTGATATAAATTTAATAGAAATGCACATAGCGGATATATGCAATGAATCTGGTTTCTTGATGAACAGTTGTTATTTTAATTGAAAATAAGGCACCAGAACCTGAAACTGGAACACACATATTCTAAACTCAGTGAGTGTTATATTCTAAAGCAAAGATCTTCGGAATGTTGCTGATTAAAATAATCTTAGTAGTAAAATCCAAGAAAAGTTACTGAAGGAGTTGTCTCAATAAAATAGGCTGTAGAGTGAGGATCGTGAATAGCCATTTACCCCCAAAGTGTTTGAAAAGTGAAACAAGAAATATTACCAACTATGAATGGGTATTTCCTCACCAGATCATCTCAGCACTTTAACAACTTATAAAGTGCTTACAAAGTCAAATTAAGAGTCGCTGTGATCTGCAAGATTGTTTATCTCGTTGCCTCCGAAGACATCGGACGAATATATTAACTAAACAATATAACTGACACAAGGAATTCAGCGTCACTTTGTCATAGCTTCAGACCTCTGTTTATTTTTCAAGCGGGAAAGCCTACAGGGAAATAAAAGGAACTTGTTTAGATAGACCATTATACTCATAAGAATGAATCGATTTTTATACCTCTCTAGACAAAAACAAAGACAATTACTTTACACAAAGAAACATGTTTTCTACTGAGAATTTATTATCCTCTTGGTGTTTTTACGAGCTCCATATGGTTTTGTACTGTTAGATCGAAATGAGAATATTGACAGTTTGATATATCTAAGGAAAGAAAACATTTACATCGGACTCAGGAATATAACTATTTATTTTCTTAAAATTGTGGAAAGTTCCAGCAATTTTGGAAATATTAATAAAATGCATTTTAACAGCATTAACATAACACATTGTCTTAAATTACTTCACTGATACCAAAGCCTGATGGTAGTCTTTCAGTGACTAGTAACTAAGAAAAAGTTAAAACTTCAGCGAGAGATACGTGAGCTGGTTCTTCAAATAATTATTGTATAAATCTGTTTTTTTTTCTTATGTGTCATTATATATATATATGTTTAATTATATTCGCAAGAACTCTAGTACGCTTCTTATAGTCCCATAACAGAAGAGGAGAGGTCATTATGTATATGTGCATATCAGCAGTTTGTGTGGTTTTAGATATAATTAGCATTTTTAAGCATTTCTTAGGTACTATTCTATAAGTACATGAAAATCTGAACTTTTATGTTGAACTAAAGTTTTATATACATTACTCAACTGATACACATATATTCTGATTTTCAACTCTTATGATAATTTAATCATGTTGAATTAGAAAAATAGATTAAGTTCTGTAGTACACGTTAGGTATAGCATTACACAAACTATAAGACATATAGGAAGGTAATTTTACAAACACTGTGATATAATGGTATAATGATATATAATGATATAATGATATAAAATAGATTAAGTTCTGTAGTACACGTTAGGTATAGCATTACACAAACTATAAGACATATAGGAAGGTAATTTTACAAACACTGTGATATAATGGTATTTTTGAGGAAGTCATTTAATGAGAATTATACCAATGTCAGAGAAACGCCCTTGTGCAAATCTTGTGGAATGTGGAAATGTGGGACAATGGGCCACTTTCCGAACTAGATGATGTTAACGCATGCGTCTTCCGGAACAAGTCATACATATTTTCCAACGTGACTAAGTCTCAACTCCGAGGAAAACAATTTAAAGTTGTCACAAAACAGGTAAGTTAATTGTTTAAGTGAAATATTTAGATGAAATTTTTTTATGGTTTAAGTATTAAAAAAAAAGTTGTAAATCAAAAAGTAAACGAACCCCAATTGCGAGTGTCATAGTTCCTTAACATGGTTCGTTAAGAGCCAATTTCAAATGGTCTGGAGGCGAACCTAGAACACAATTCAAATATTGTAAAGGTGTTTCTTTATTTGTTTATGAGTTTCGCACAAAGCTGCACTAGAGCTATCTGCTCTAACCGTCCCTAATTTAGCAGTGATAGACTAGAGGGAAGGCAGTTAGTCAATAACTCTCAATGCTAACTCTTGGGCTACTCTTTTACCAACAAACAGTGGGACTGACGGTCACATTATAACCCCCCCCCCCCCAGCTGAAAGGGCGAGAATTTTCGGTGACTGGAATTCGAACCCGAGACCCGCAGATTGCGAATCGAGTGCCCTAACCACCAGGCCATGCCAGGCCTTGTAAAGGAATGTCATCATTACAGGTCTCCATAACAGATTGTTCTTTTTTTAAAGAAACAAACTTATTTGACCTACTCAGTAGGGAAGGTATTCTTGTATAAGAAGCTCTCGTTAAAGAAGAATGTCACATCTGTTCTTTATTCAGTACTCACGTTTAATTTCTTTTATCTTCATAACTACATGAAAATATTACTGATTTTGCAACTCGCTCTTCTTAAGCAATAGCTATGTTAGTTTTACGACATAATACTATGTATATAAAAAACGAATATGTTATAAGTAATACATTATCTTGAAACAGGAATAAAAATGCTTCTCGCCATCAACATTCAAACTTGAAAGTGTTTTAAAATACTTTGAAATGTTTCCTCGTTTTAATATTGTTTACACTATCTAAAAAAATTATACAAACATGCTTCTTGGCTTAAAGTGTTGGTTATATATCTCATTATTTAAATATCGTTTAATCCCTAGTGCCTTGAAAATGTTACTCATGTTACGTGGTGACACAGAAACATTGAAGCCTTGGAAATATTACTCATGTTACGTGCTAACACAGAAACATTTAAGCCTTGAAAATATTACTCATGTTATGTGCTGACACAGAAACATTTAAGCCTTGGAAATATTACTCATATTATGTGGTTACACAGAAACATTGAAGCGTTGGAAATATTACTCATGTAACGTGGTGACACAGAAACATTGAAACACCTTATGTACGCTCTGTATACATCCTTAGGTTGGCGGTCCAATATAATGGTCTTAACTTGGTTTAAAATGTATGCAATTTCTTTAACCATAAGATTAGTTAAGGTTTGAAATAAATCTTTTATTATAATTTTTGATTTTATATCTGTTTTATCTTTATAACTACATGCCAAAACTGAACTGCGATCCACTATTCATAACCAAGAACTGTGTTAGTTTTACATTAAGTTATAGAAGGAACGAATGAAGATGTCAAACAGTGATAATTGAACTTTTCTTTGTATGACATTTGGAGAACCAAAAATATATGACAGTTACTTTCTGGTACAGGAAAGTCTTCAGTCACGTAATTAAATACCTACATATCCTACATTCTATCATGAGTGTCTTGAAGTGTGCTTTTTTTATCATTTCAAGTGTCTAGACATATAGCCCGTGTCTGAAACTTTCATAAAGTGCTTAACCATTGATTTTTGTATTGACCTTCGATTTATCTTTACCAGAAGTGCGTGAGGGATCAATGGTTAATAGAATCACTTTTCACTAACTTGTATCGAGACTTATATCGAAAAAGGCTCGTAACATACACACACGTACTTTGAAGTCAGCGTGACAAGGAAATAGAAGAACAAAAAATTAAGGAAAAAATTCGTGGGGTTAAAATTAAACTTACCTGTCATAACAAAATAAATGTCCTTTCATCACAGTGATATCGATCTGAATAGCACTCGGTACTGCATCAAGAACTAATTTTAGTCCTTTTGAAATACCTGCGGATTTATATAGTAAAAATATCTGTGGTGGGCGAAACGCAGATAATCCTTTGTGTAACTTTTCCCTTATAAACAGACCTGAAATAAGTATCAATATAGTGTGATGTATAAAGGGCTAAGTACATTTTTTTTGGGGGCTGGTGTTAAGAGAATTCATCTGTTCGGTTTAAAGTAGAACAATATATATATACGTATACACAGTATACTAACCAACTGATTCATATGATATATATATATCACTATCCAGTATACTAAGCAACTGATTCATATGTTATATATATCACTATCCAGTATACTAAGCAACTGATTCATATGTTATATATATATATATATATATATATATATATA